ACTATATAAATTACTGTGTGCATAGGATTAAAAGAGGAATGGTGGTAGGGGATATGACATGGCAGGAAGTTGCACAATACCTCACCCTATCTACCTGGTTAAGATACTTAACCTATATTGTATGTACACGCTGTTATCAACATCCCCCTATAGCTTTGCTCTGTTTGAGTTTTATATAGTCTCATCCGTCATCTTAAGATATTTTTCATCTGTCCCATTATTCCCCCAAACAAGATACTATAAACGATATTATGTACATATGTGCTTAAATGGACATCAACTTTTATCTTGAAAAATGGCAGAATAATACTATTAAGAACCCACACATGAATTTGCTGAAGTTCGACAAATATTTTTCCAACCGATAAAATAAGCGACACCAAGATTGACTGGGGGTCGGTCTTCTCTGAATATCTTGATAGTTTCAATGTAACATTACAAGGTATATGTCTGTTAGAACAGATGAAGTTGAGATAAATCTGCCAGAGCCATGATGAACTAACAGATTCTGTTACAGTAAGGCAACAAACCCCAGTGGAGTCATATTTTCATTTCAGCCCAGTTTGTTTTATCTCCAAATTTTTTTGACAAATATTTCCAGAGGTCATTGTTGCGAGGGGCAATCGATGGTCGAAATGTCCGCATTTCCTCGTGTATACACACACAGCTGTACCTGTGTTTAAGATTTGCCAGCAAACCAACGCGCCATCATTTCTGTCGACTTTAAGATCAAGAAAAACTCCCAACCATCTTTAAAATTCTATAGTCAATCTATGTGCCACACTTATTGACTGTGTGCAAGTAGATACTATGAGTCACTCAAGATAAAGGCTCTTCCCCATCCCATTGTCTCCCTGATTGAGACAGTGTTCACTGCCTGTTTCTTAACCTTTATCATGGCTGCCAATTTTGATTGAAGATTGAGTTTTTTCCTTATCTATCTACAAACACGACAAATGTTTGCAAAGCGACTTTTTAAAAGTTTAAATTGACAAACATTGTCTTGTATTGAGTTTGTAAAGAAAGTTTTTTGGCACCAGATCGACCACATGGTGTATAAAGTTGGACTTGAATTTACTGAAATTCATAAATATGACCGAATAATGCTATATTTGAAACTTAAACGAATTATCAGTATCTACATCATTAAAGTGCCAGTTAAGATGGAAGTTATCTATGGACAAAACCACCACTTATACAACTGGGTAAGACAAATCCTGAATACATGTACAACATGTTCCACAACATTTCAGAGTCATAAAATTACAACTTAACATTTAAAAAATGTACTTTACATTGAGCATGGATACTTTTACCCATATTTATTTTTGTTTAAACAAACAAAGAATAAAACAGCCATTTCAGATGACTTAACTGCTTGAACCAAATGAGCAAGAAAGCATTAAGGAAAGAATCCTTTTCAAACTGCAGTCAGTTAATGGTAATGATGTAAGTTGGTAGACTATGAGACAGGGTTTTCTTCAGATGTTGTGACACATCAAAAACTCCATTATGACAAGGAAATAATTTGTGTCTTATCTATCCAAGTCAGTTTATGTCTATGTTTCGCAGTGTAAGACAACTATGTCAATATCGTGAGCAGACACTCTAACATTCTTTGTATGCAGACGATATCAGCTATCACTGGGGCAGGACTGGGTCAAATTATCTATTTATTGCTTACCATCTTTCCTTATGAATTACTCAACAGTGACATATACAGATGTATAATGTACATATAAAGTTTATTACACCTGATGTGGTATGACAGTTAACACCTAGTCAAGATAAAAGTTTATATCACTGCCTTCACAGATTTACATATGTTCTTGTGGCCTTACTTATTAAAAAAAACTGATTTCTTAATGCCAAACTGTGACGATTTCTTTTTCCTTGATGCAACATTAAAATACCTTTTGACCAGAATGGGTTAAATGGTACCACCTAACATCCATCCAAAGTTGTTTGCAATTCCATTAAGTCTTTCTGTTTAATTATTACTTATGAATTACTTTACTGAAAACCAAATACATTACCTAGAGAATATATTATCTTAGTAATGCATTGGCTTATCACATTGAAAAAAACCCACATCCTTGTTTAAAAAATTTAACAGATGTCGTTGTTTCAACAATTAACTAATTAACTACATAACCCTATACATTAACCTAGGACATATGGGGCTCCACACTTATCTGAGCTCTACGGTTCCAGTTATTTTCTTAAACCTAGACTGATTTCTTAGTAAGCTTGGCACCAAGAACACACAAGCTCACTAAGCCGGGTCCAGGTATGTGTTGAATACCTGCCTCATTACTAGGTAAATATTTGTTGAGGGAAGCTGTATAGACAAAGTCCATGTGAAAATGACTTATAGATTTTTAAGAGCAAATATGACTGGCGACATTGTACTTCATATCTTGAAAATGTAAGTGGTCCCAAATAGGTACAATGTAAGACAAAGCCATATTGTTTTCCCACACAAAACTTGTGTTTTTTCCCCAAAGTTAACATGTATACGGTATGTAAAACTCTCCGTTCATATTGTATGAAACCCAACCATCCTATCACTTCTTTGTTGGAACAGTGTCTCTTACCTATGTGGAACGCAACCGTTCACGTTTTGACAATGTCATATTGTTTACCAAGAATGTAAGAATCTAACGATTGCTTGTTTTCTTGATGCCCGCCAATCACCGACACACACACCTGATAGTCTATACTAGAAGTAAAGAGTGTATTATTTTTTCGCTGCTTGCACCCGATGTTCTTTGACGATGTCAACAAGCAAACCTGACATGAAGAGTGGGCTGAAACTCAGGTGTATTCCGTATTGAACTGCACAGCAGTGTCTATATCCAGGCCTTGGCAATGTCAACAGGATATATTTGTTTGCTTCTCTCGAAAGGGAAATGCTAGATACACATAAGCTTGAGACAAAGTACACGAGCCAGACTTTAACATAACTGCACATCTACGACTTACTACACAAAATACCGCCTGTATCCTTTCATAACATGACTCATGAACGAATTATTGTTTCCATTCTAAAAAATTCCCTACAAAATTGGACTGTTTGACTTTAGCATGTTTCAAATTGTGAAAGAAACCCTTGATTAAAATTGACAGCTCCTACAACTTTTCGCCATTGTTACTGTTCTATTTTTAATTCAGTTCCCATGTTTAGATTCTGGAGTTTTCAAATAGACTGGTTTCTTTCTTTCTATCAAAACCTGTTTTTTCAAACACAAAAGTCAATATAGTAAATATACATGAAATAGAACAGATGTTGTGATTTAATGTTTGACATAGATGGACAATATTGATATAATATTAAAAAGTGAAACAATTAAGTAACAAATGACAACATTACAGCAATGATCATCAGTTTGCTATGCAAGCAATTTGCAACACTGTTTCACAATCAAGATCTTTTTTCACAAATTTTGCTAACAACGTTGCACAATATTAACCAGGCAGGTCATATGTTTGATACTGCATTGAAAGATATTTCCCAGCAATTAACAACAAATAAAAAATGTTTAGCACCAGAAAATACTCCTTTTCAAAACCGATTACAGAAATGATGCAAGTTGTGCTTTAAAATAAGGTAATGAATGTAATTAACAGAATTAAAAATAATTAAATACTTGTTTCAACATGCATTGGACCATGATGCAAAATTAAAACCCATTAAAAGTATTTTCCTTACAGTGAACAAAAGGCATCGTCAATAATGTAAGCATTTCACAAGAGGCTCACTCTACCATGGCAAGCAGCAATTTCAGCTATTTCTGGCATCAAAAAAATTGTGCTAACTGACAATGACTTCCAAGTATCACAAAGAAAAAGTAATTATTTTCCTCAGTCACTAGATAATTTTCCATGTGGCAGTAAATAAGAAATTGGCCATTGATGACTCACTCAATTGGACCTAAGCAGGCACAGAGAACTGTTAAAATAAATTACAAGACAAATTCTTCATATACAATTTTCACAAAATTGTGCTGCACGTCAACAGAAAATCAAATTGTGCACATACATACAATTGCTGTCCGTCCCCATCTTTCCACGAGAATCTTGAGAAATTTAATTTCCTTGGCAATCACCAACACTTGACGGACAAAAGGACAATGGAGAAGGCTTCTGACAGTGACACAAAGGCCGTAAGTACTCCTGTACGATTACAACTTAGTCATCGCACAGCTCCCCAGCCAAACTCAATCAATTAAAATAATGGAAATGATGAGTCAAAAATGTCACATAGATTGCAAATGCTGGAAGTGATAATGTCGTGTTTATGACATATGTAGCGTATCAAAGCGTGGGTACCCTGCTCACACAAAGAGTAGTAGAAACGCACACGCTCAATAATCAATGGCCCACAGTCCATTCATCCTTATCTTACACAGTTACTCAGTATATCTCCTCCTCTCTCAGCTAAAAATAGACCACAAAAGAAAAAACCTTTCTCTAGTACTCACATTTGTGGAAGACTGTGAACTTGGCAATGAAGAGAATGACTTGCCTGTAGTGGCAGTCAAAGCGTGTGTGATGCAGTTCCTATCTAAGTTATAGTGATCAATATCTGGCGTTAGGTCACCCCGGTATACTATACGTATTACTCTCAACTGACAAGGCCCGCGGTTTGAATAGGCTTCGCGGGAATCTCAAAAATAGATCAATTCACAGATTAAACTTTAAGTCAAGAGTTGAATTATGAAAGGAAATGAAGATGAAATAATTCCAGAGGCTTGAGTGTGAAAGAATGTGCAGAAATTTGCTGCAAAGCCAGGTGTCATTACGATGGCCCAACACACTCACAGAGCACATGTGAGATCGAAAACAATGGAACCAAGACTAGCCGCGTGCGCTAACCACAACTGAAGCAAACACAAATGGGTGACGGTCACCAGACAACTTTGAGAGGGAAATTTCCTAATCTGACATAGACACAACGTTTGTGTTACTGAGCAGAGGTGACAATTAATATTACTTACCCGAAAGGATTTTCAAAACTTTGACAGCTGCTTTCGTCTCTTTGGGCTACAGCGCCATTTTAATTACCCAGCATACATACGCAGTAGTAAGTGCGCATGCGTACAATTTGTTTACAAATGGCGGCCTACTTGGTGTGCTTGACGGCCGGGGGTGGCGTCCCACTATTTTCACGTACAAAAGGAGATCTAAAACCTGTAAGACTTACTGTTTGTCTAGTTGCACATATTTATTATCTTGGAAGCTTTTTATATCGGCGTGTACACTGCTAGCATGTTTGACGCTCAGATACCGATGTAAACATTACCACGTGTTCTGATCTAGATAACGCGGAAGCAGGTGCCCATAGACTTGACAGCATGTCATTTTAAACGTTGCGCGGATAAATTTTGCTTACTTGCTTTTGTTTGGGTTTTGATTTCTTCGCATTGTTTTTGTCTTGCTATTCTGCGTGAGAGCTTAGGTATACAGCTTACGTTTTGTGTTATAAGTAATTTGTCTTGATTAGCACGTATATTCGTCAGTTATGTGCATTTCTATTGTATTGTTTTTGTCAATTCATAATTTAAATAAACACCATTGGTATACCATTTGTGATGCACTTTTAATGTGCAGCTCTGCGTTTTTTAAGACAGCTCAAAATGAACATCTTACCTACACGAATATACAAAGAGTTATAACTAATCAATCAAGCCTATTTAATGCATCAACTATCTCCACACAACACTCAACTGTCACATCATATATGGACATGTGTATGGATGTGAGAAAAGTGTAATGCTACTCTGGAATCAGTCAGGCCCCAACACCTGAGGTATTTGAGAATGCCATAAAATCCCTGTGTAAGGGTAGATTGCACCCAGAGATAACACTGGGTAGGAGTGCTCATCAGGGTATTGCTCGAACTGCTTCTGTTGGTGTGCGTTCAGCCGTGACTAATCAAGAGCTTTGATAGTATATTGGGAGCAATTACTTATTGGAGATAATCCTGCTTAATTAATCACCTACATTAAGTGTCCACTTACTAAGTTGTTAATTCCCCACTGTGTATGTGTAATCTATATATCTATTCACACCAAGTTGTAGATTAAATTTAGTGATAGGATAGTTAAATTATCCTGATTGTATTTGTGGAAAGCAAACTGCTATTTGGGATCCACTGATTAAGTTGAAATTGTGCAGAAGTGTGTGTTGTTGGTACAATTATTTTAAATTAAGAAAACAGATATCTTTCTTAATTAATCACCAGAATTAACTGACCACTTATAGAGTTGTGATTTCACACTGTATGATTGGATAATGGCATAGTTAGGTTATCCTCATTTTTTTTCAAATTATATGTCAGTTCAGGTTTTATTGTTTATCTTGGATATGTGCAAATGTGTTTGTTGATTGAATAAGAATTGGAATTTAGGAAAATGAATAAAATATTGTAATTTAGGAAAATGTGTATCTTAAAATGTTTTTGAATTTTATTTGTATATTTAGATTAAAATAGTGTACAAAAATTTACATTGGCCAGTCTCATTGAAATGTTTCATTTTTAAAGTTAATTGAAGATGTACAATTTTCTAATCAATTAAACTAATTAGCTTTTAATTGTGTGTATTGTCTAAGGTGTTTTGTAAAACTGTTTAATCAAGTGGATTTGTGTATCAAGGGCTATTAACACTTGTTTATTGGCAAGGATTAATTTGCTGTCGTAAAGCAATAAATTGTGTTTTTATGTAAAACAACTCAATGTCATTTTTCTGTTTGTATGGTGCAAATGATGTCACAAACAGTTCAAATATTGTGAAATTTCACTTGATTGTGATTGTGAAGCAGTTTACAAAATTTTGAAAATGTGAAGTTAGTAATTTTTGCATCATGGCCTGCAAATTAGAGAAGTATTTTGACCCTTTCCTAATATCACAGATATTCTTTGCATTAGAGTCGTATATTAAATTTAGACTAAGTCCTCATATATCCTGTGTCTACTGAAGTAAAATTAATCACTTGCACAAAAATAACTTACTTCTCTGTTTGTATAACTCAAACAGGATTGAATCAGTGTCTCCTATTGAAGATATGAAATCTGTGAATTAGAATCATTAGTATTGTTTGTATACACTTTTGGTAGCAAATAAATCATTCTAGTTGAATAGGTGAACTATTGCTGAAACCAAATTAGCTCACCAAGTCTGCATTCAGGCATAATGCGATTTAATGAACCTGATTCTTGCTTGCAGCAGTGGCAAATGTGTATGTCCTCTGGCAAAGTGTTTAATGACTTAAACCCACAGACTGTCTGCCCTACAGTCAGTGGGGTGTGTCAATCTGTCAGTCTATGGGGTGTGTCAGTCTGTCAGTCTATGGGGTGTGTCAACTCTCAGTCTATGGGGTGTGTCAGTCTGTCAGTCTATGGGGTGTGTCAATCTGTCAGTCTATGGGGTGTGTCAGTCTGTCAGTCTATGGGGTGTGTCAGTCTGTCAGTCTATGGGGTGTGTCAGTCTATAGGGTGTGTCAATCTGTCAATCTATGGGATGTGTCAATCTGTCAGTCTATGAGGTGTGTCATCTGTGAAGTGTGTCGGTCTGTCAGTCTATGGGGTCTGTCAATCTATGGGGTGTGTTGGTCTGTCAGTCTATGGGGTGTGTCATCTATGAAGTGTGTCGGTCTGTCAATCTATGGAGTGTGTTGGTCTGTCAGTCTATGGGGTGTGTCAATCTGTCAGTCTATGAGGTGTGTCAATCTATCTGTCTATGGGATGTGTCAATCTGTCAGTCTATGAGGTGTGTCATCTATGAAGTGTGTCGGTCTGTCAGTCTATGGGGTCTGTCAATCTATGGGGTGTGTTGGTCTGTCAGTCTATGGGGTGTGTCATCTATGAAGTGTGTCGGTCTGTCAATCTATGGAGTGTGTTGGTCTGTCAGTCTATGGGGTGTGTCAATCTGTCAGTCTATGAGATGTGTCAATCTGTCAGTCTATGGGGTGTGTCAATCTGTCAGTCTATGAGGTGTGTCATCTATGAAGTGTGTCGGTCTGTCAGTCTATGGAGTGTGTTGGTCTGTCAGTCTATGGGGTGTGTCAATCTGTCAGTCTATGAGGTGTGTCAATCTATCTGTCTATGGGGTGTGTCAATCTGTCAGTCTATGAGGTGTGTCATCTATGAAGTATGTCGGTCTGTCAATCTATGGAGTGTGTCAGTTTGTCAGTCTATGGAATGTGTCAGTCTATGGGGTGTGTCAGTCTGTGGGATGTGTCAATCTGTCAGTCTATGAGGTGTGTCATCTATGAAGTGTGTCGGTCTGTCAATCTATGGAGTGTGTCAGTCTGTCAGTCTGTGGGGTGTGTCAGTCTATGGGGTGTGTCAGTCTATGGGGTGTGTCAGTCTGTGGGGTGTGTCAGTCTGTCAAGGACTTTAGAAAACAGAAAATTGTTATACCCTGACTCAGTAAGCCAGATTGTAAGAAACCGTTAAATTCTTCAGTGGGAAGAACATTTGTCAACAACCTAACATCAGATCACTAACTACACATTTTGACATTATCCATTTTTATGAAATGGGGAAGGGACTCTTCTGCATATTTATCTGGAAAGCAAATTTGACAAGAAGTTTGATCAGTAAGACTATGAAATGCCCTACAAGGTTTTGATAATATGATTAAGGATTGTTCACTATCAGAAGCTGATTGGTTGTGGTGCCATTTGTGGTACAGACTGTACTTAGAGGTTGAGTACATATGGTAATTGTTAGCACAGAATCAAGCCAATCATATAGGTAGAGCGCCAACACGTGTCTTACTCCAACCCACCCTTTCAGCATTCTTTTACACATCTTACTCTTTTGTATGGGCTATGATTAGCAGGGTTTATTAGCCCAACAGAGAATTGCTAGACACAGCCTTCAGGCTAGTGGTTAAAGGCATTGTCTGGTACAGTTGAACAACAGCCTGGAGGAGGCAGCATCTCTGTCATCATGAGTGTCTGCAATAATACTGCTGTATTGCACTGTCGTCATGTCACAATCATGTCTGTCCGGCACACAGTTGTGTAAGAGAGCTTACTTCAATGTTCTCTCATCAGTACTTCAGTCATATCCCAGCATATATTCATGAAACCAAGTGGTGCCCATCTTAATTCTTTGCCAGTGGGGAGAAGTCCATTTTGACTGATTCAAGGGTAGAAATAACCCATTGCCCGACGTCCGAGTCCAGTGTTTTGTTCTGTTGGGCAAGCAAATTTGTATATTACACTGTACCGGTGTCCAGTTGACTTTCAGACGTTAATTATGTTTTTTTATTTTAAAAATCAGCAAGAAAACGACCGGTACAGTGGAAAAATTATTAGGGCAAGTTATTTTACATGTGCCACTGTACACTAGCAATTTTAAAGTTATTTCCACCCCTGACTGATGCATAACAGTGAGACCAATGTTCCTTAATTTGGAATCTGAGATTCAGTCATATGATCAGCACATTCTGTCCCTACTAAGGGACATAACTTTCATGACCTCTTGTATTGTATATGGATGCAAGTTAACCCATAGTATTTACCATTCTGAATAGGGATAACATCTCAACACACTTGTAAAAAGGCCTGACATGTAATGGTTTCTGATTCCTTTCAAAACAAAACATTCAAATGTAATTTATCACAAAGATTGAAAGCATTCTATAGGGAATGAAACAAGACATGTTAGATAATTCTATGGGGCATGTTTCTTCTGAGATTCCCAATTTCCTGATTTTGTTAACAGAGGAAATATTGTCCATGGGTTTACAAACAACTTCCTCAGTGTACCATAGTAAAGATTTGCAAACAATACTTATGAAAACTCTCTTTTTCAAGAAATTATTAAAAAAAACTTTTGTTTTGTACTTAACAGGAAAAAATAAGTACAAAAATCAGGAAACTGGGCCACCCTGTTCAAGGAGATTGTTTTCATTCCTCCATCTTTGATGCCGGCTTGTGTGTGGGAGATGCTTGTAGATTTTCATGGGAAGAATAAGCTGACTACGTATGGTTTTTAAATGGTTAAATTCCTTGTTGAACCATGCTCAGTTCTACATACACAATGACACAAAAC